GAAGGGGGACTTGATGCCTGGTCTAAAGTGGGTCTCCCTGTTTAGGGACTCAAGATGCTCCCCCCACCCCCCTGAAATCTTTCCTGCCAACCCCAATCCCTGAGATATGCTGGACTGCAACTCCCATCCTCCCCATCCTCACCCCCCCACCAAATAATCCAGAGCTGCCCCAGTCGGGCTGCTGGGCCTACCGGTTGCCGTGGCGACCCTGGGCACTTCCGGCCGTTTCCCGGGCAACGGCCCCTCCTGGTGCAGGATGCTGCTGACCCCGAAGGCCGCCTCGGGGCTCTGGATGGAGGCGACGACCCAGCGGCCGTCCAGCGAGCGCGGGCAGCAGCCTCCGCCGCCCTCCGGCCCCGCCGCCTCCGCCAGCCCCGCGGCCCAGGGCACGTGCGCCTCCCGCGGGCGGTAGGGGTTCACCTCGCACGCTGGGCCCTCGCCGGCCCGAGCGCTGGAGCGGCCCCAGCGGGGACGGGCGTCGGGCTCCCGGCCGCTCCAGAGGCTCCCGGAGGGGTCTGTGCGGGGAGAGCGGAGGGTTTCAGGGCCGGAGCCTCCCGCCCGCCCGGCTCCTCCCGCCCGCCTTCTCCCCCCGCCCGGCTCCCTACCCAGCAGCTGGAAGGCCAGTCCGGGCTCCACCTCGGCGGGCAGGTCGCGCTCCAGGGTGGCTTCGGGCAGGCGCTGCCCGGGCGGCGGCAGGACGAGCAGAGCGGGACGCGGGGTCACCTCGCCGGGCATCAGCCCGCCGCCCCCGACGGCCCCGACGGCCGCCTCCTCCACGAACCAGCAGCCCAGCTTGGCCGGCGGGGGGGAGGCGGAGGCGGCCAGGGAGGCACCTGCGGGGGACAGACGGGAGTCGCTCAGCCGGACGGCGCCGCCCAAAGCGGGAATCCCCCACCCAGCTCGGCCCGGGGGAGCCTCCGTGGCGCTGCCGGCCGGGGGTGGCGGGGGCCGCTTCGGGCCGTCCAAAGGCTCCGGCCGGTCCGTCGGTCGGTCGTCTGGGTTGGGCTCCCCTCGGGGGGGGGGGCGCCGGATCCCCGCTTCCCCCCCCCGTCCCCCTCCCCCGGCCCGCACTCACCGAGGAGGAGGAGGAGGAGGAGGAGGGGGCTCCGCTCGCCGGGGCCGAAGGCGAAGGAGGCGGAGGCGGCCATACCGAGCGCGGCGGACGGGCAGGCGAGGACCGGGAGCTCCGGAGCGACGACGCGGCGCGATCCGTTTCGGCCCGGGCCGCTTTCACTTTCGGCGGAGGAGGAAGAGGAGGCGCCCGAGAGAGACGGGCCGATGCGTCCCCCCCCACTCCCTCTCCCTCCCTGGTCCGGGCGGGGCGAGGGCGATTCCCCGGCCGAGGGAGCCGAAGGCAGCCGGGCTCCTTTCCGGAGGGAAGCGGCGGGGAAGCCCCCTCGCCCCGTGGTCTCCCCTCCCCCCCCCGCCCCGATGCTCTGGGAGGCAACTATCCCGGCGGGGGCCGCGGGGGGGGGGGGCAGCAGCCTCGGGCAGCCAAGCCAGGCTAGTCCCGGGATGGGAGGCCAGCCAGCGATCCCAAGAGCTCTTAGGCCGTCAGAGGTCGAGTTGTCCATTGCAGGAAGGTTCCCATCTCGGATGGCAAAAGCTCAGATAAAAGGACGTTTCCAAGCAAATACAACTCAGGTCAACCAAGTCACTCATCTAAAGGAGGATTAGAGAGAGGAAGTCAACATGTGTTAGACTTTAACCAGAGATCATTCATTATATGGATTGCTGTGGTAAACAGTAATGAATGTTAAGCAGTAACCAAAGTTAACCAGTGATGGAGGGTAACTAAAAAGGAGTATAAATGCAAGACTAGACTCCAATAAAGATCATCATGATTCTGTTGTTCATGATCAAACAACTCAACTGCCTCGTCATTACAAGAGTCAGACTGGCAGGCTGGAAGGTGTGGGGGGGGGGAGGGCAGACTGCCTGGGGATAATGGAGGGGGTCGCTTGGGTGCAAGTGAGCGTGTGTTGTGGGGGTGTGGGGGAAAGTTTCCACGGAGAACCCCGAATAAAATGGCCGCCTCGTTGGCTCCCTGCCTGCGTTTACACACCTTCACCCGTTATACCAGAGGTCTCATTCTCACGGCCCGCAGGCCAATTGCGGCCCGCAGGACAATATCCTGTGGCTCCCACTGTGATACAAAAGTATAATATTAGTGTATAATATAAAGTATAATATAAAATATAATATTATGCAGCCCAGCCTCTGCCTCCAGCGGACCCCAGAAAAATTGCATTTGAGACCTCTGCGTTATACGGTCCCTTCCCCGAAATCTTCAGCACAACCACCAGGGCCAGGTGGGCCCCAAGGCCCCCCTGAGGGTGAGAATGGCCCTCTTCAGTGGGTGGGGGGGGGGAATTGGTGCTCCTGGGGACGGCCCCTCCTCCCTCCCTCCCCCATTTGGTCTCCTGCGGAGCCCTGGATAAAATGGCCACCAAAGGGCCCTCCCGATGGCCTGGATCCCAGCAGGGCCAGGGCAGAGCTTGCAAAAGGCCGCAGGAAAAGCCACGTCCCAAACCAGAGGCCGATAAACACACCGAGGGGGGCTGGCCTATTACTCTGCGGAAGCCAATAGCCTCATTTCCCCAAGGAAGAGACTTTTGTCCAAGGACACATTTGGCTGAGGAGGAGGAGGAGGAGGAGGAAGCGCCTGCCTTCCAGAGCCAACCCACCCTGGGAAAGAGCAGCCTCTTGAGACGATGCCCTCCGTCGGCCGCCCACCCCGGAGTTTGTTGAACCCCTTGAAAAGTTGCGGAAGGAACTACGCCCTCCTCAGGCAGCTGTTTGTTTTGTCCAGGCCTCCCTCGGGCTTTCCCGAGACGCTCTGGAATACATTGGAGCTTTTGAAGGACTGTGGACTTCAACTCCCAGAATGCCCCAGCACAGCCGGCTGAGGGATCCTGGGAGTCGAAGTCCGCAACGTCTTAAAAGTGAGCAAGGTTGGAGAGCTCTGGACTGGACCATTTCAGACAATTGGATGGGTAGAGACTCCTGAGAAGGGGCTTTTTCATTTGGTTTTCTCTCTTTTCTGGCCTTCCTGCCTTTTTCTTCTTTTCCTCAAACTCCCAGAATTCCCCCCACCCCCTTCGCCTAACATGAAAGGCAGGTTTTCAAAAGCAGGTGGAGCCAATCGGGATCGGCGCCTTGCCGGAAGCCCCGCCCACCAAGGCCATCTTAAGGCCGGGCGGGAGTGGAGTGGGGGGAAAGCGATGGATGTTGCAGCCATCTTAAGTGCGGGCACTCGCGGCTGCAGTGGCGGCAAAGGATTTTTTTTCCCGCTAGCCTTAGTGTGTCCTCGCCACAGGATCGAAAGTGCGATCCAGGCAGAGAAGTCGCGCCCGGAAACCTCAAGACGAGGTTCGCGAGTGGCGCTTCATAACAACATCCCCACTCCCCGAGAAGCCATTTCACACGCTGAAATTCACTCCGGCGGCGGCGGAGGGAGCCAGAACGACAGACCGTGCCCTTCGACAAAATGGCCGCAGCTGCGTCGCTCCGCTTGGCAAACGGCGGCTGCCTCCGGCGGCGTCACTTCCGGTAGACAGAGGGGCCCGGAAGCGGCGTCCCCAGCACCGGCAGCGCCGCCTCCTCCTCCTCCTCCTCCTCCTCCACGTGCGGCGGCGGCGGCGGCGAGCGAAGCGACCCACCGGGCGAGGATGACGGGGGGCGAGTCGGCCGTGGCCCGCGGGGAGGCCACGCCCGCCGCTAGGAAGAAGGTGAGGCGCTGCTTCCTCCTCTCCCCTCCGTCCTGCGCTGGCTGGGGGGGCGGGAGGGGGAGGGTCCCCCCCGGAGGTCATCTAGTCCGACCCCCTCACCCCAAATGCACCCAGCCCGGTCTCCTCTTGGAAGCCTCCGGGGGGGGGGATTTCCCCCCCCCCCCCCCGGGGGGGGGGGGGCGGCAGAGGCACAGGGGAGGGAGAGATCCCTGGAGGTCATCTAGTCCGACCCCCTCACCCCAAATGCACCCAGCCGGGTCTCCTCTTGGAAGCCTCCGGGGATGGAGATCCCCAGAGGCACAGGAGAGGGAGGGACTGCTGGAGGTCATCTAGTCCGACCCCCCCCCAATGCACCCCGCCCCCCAATCCCCCCCCCCCCCCCTCCTTTCCAGGCTGGGCGGCCGCAGCGCTACTGGGACAGTGAGCCTGGCCAGGCCGGAGGCGACCGGGTGGACCCTCCGAAGGGGGCCAAGAGGGCCCGTCGGCCACGGAAGGCGGAGCTGGCGGTCAAAAGGCGGATCTCGGAGGTGAGCGGAGGGGGTGGGAGGGGGTTGGACTAGATGACCCCAGGGTTACTGGAGTGAAGCTGACTCTCCCCATCCTGCAGAGGGAGGACCCCTTCGCCGGAGCCTCGGAGCCCGTCCCGCCGGAGAGAGCGAGGAAGTTCCAGCGAGGAGCCCCCCAGCAGCTGGTGAGACACCCCTCACCCCCCCCGTGTCCCCCCCCCACACGGCCTCCTCCGGGCCCCGTGTCCCCCCCTGCCCCCGCTGTCCCCCCCCCTCCCCCCCCCCCCGCAGGAAGCCGTGTCCAGCGAGCGGCTGAAGCACCAGCTGGCCAGGCAGGAGCAGAAGGCCCGAGCGGCCGCTGGCCAGGCGGCCCGGATGGAGCTGCTGCTGCTGGAGGAGCCCGGGTGGGTCTCTCTGCCCCCCCCCAACCCCCCCTGGGCGGGGGCCCCCCCCCCCCCCCCCCCGCCTTCCCAGCGAGGACCGGACCAACTGTGGCGGGCAGTTCCGCCGGCCCTGAATACCTCCTGGCTGGGGAGGAGGAGCAGCCCGGGATGCTTCAAGGAGGAGAGTCTGAGCTGGGTGGAATAGGAGAGAGTGGAGAAGGGGCCTCGGAGGTCTTCTAGTCCAGCCCCCTCCATCCTCTAGAGCAGCTGGCTGGGGAATTCTGGGAGTTGCAGTCCGCCAGGTTTGAAGGGGCCACGTTCGCCAGGCGCCTCTTTAAGCCGCCGCCTCCCGTTTTTTATTTCCCCGACTCACGAAAGGGGTGAAAAAGGAGGTGGGGGCAACACTGACCCTTTCCTGATCTCCCCCTCCCCATTTGTCTCTCCCCCGCCCCCCCCCTTTCCCAGGTACCTGGAGGGGGAGGAGGGCGAAGACACCTGCACCGTCTCCCAAGCGGATATCGCGGCTGCCGTGGACCTGGCCGCCGGTGCCAAGGTGGGGAGGGGGAGGGAGGGGGTGGGGTGGCCCTCTGGAGTGGGGGAGGGCTGGGGGAGGGGGGAGCCCCCTCCGATTTCATCCTCACCCTCCTCTCTTCCCCACCCCCCTCCGCAGCGCTTTGAGCTGCGCCTGGATCGTTTTGGGCCCTACCGGCTGAGCTACACACGGAACGGCAGGTGAGCAGGCGCTGCGGGGGGTGGGGGAGGGGAGGGCCCCGGGGGCCCCCTCCCCCCCCCCCCCCCATTCACCCCCCGCGTTGCTGCCCCCTTCAGGCACCTTCTCCTGGGGGGCCGCCGGGGCCACGTGGCTGCCCTCGACTGGCACACCAAGGCCCTGATGTGCGAGATCAATGTCATGGAGAGCATCACCGACCTCACGTGAGTCATTGCCCCCCCCGAGGGGGGGAGGGGGTCGGAACCGAGGGGGAGCACCGTGGGCCTCCCCCACCCCCCGCATGGACCAGGTCTAGGCCCCCCTGAGGGGGGGAGGGGGCTGGAACCGAGGGGGAGCACCGTGGGCCTCCCCCAACCCCCGCACGGCCCAGATCTAGGCCGCCCCAGGGGGGAGGGGTTGGAACCGAGGGGGGGCACCGTTTGCAGGGGGAGGGGGCATCCGGGCCCACCCTCCCGCCCGGCGGGTGTGTCCGGCAGGTGGCTGCACACGGAGACCCTCCTGGCCGTCGCCCAGCGCAAGTGGCTCTACGTCTACGACCATCAAGGGGTGGAGCTGAATTGCCTCAAGCGTTTCCACGGCGTCCAGCGGATGGAGTTCCTCCCCTACCACTTCCTGTTGGCCACAGCGGTGAGCGGCCCCTCCCCCCCCCCCCCCCGTCAGCCCCCCCCCCCCCCCCCCCCCAGGCAGGCCTCGCCCCCCCCTCCCTCTCTCTACATCCCCCACCCAAGGCCTCTCCCCCTCCCCTCCCCCCAGGGTCTTCCTGACTTGGGCTGAGCTGGTCAGAAAAGCCCCTCCCCACCCCCCAAAAAAGTCCAACCAGGACCTCTCGGGGTTGGAGGGGGGGGAAATCCCCCTATGGTCATCTAGACCGACCCTCAGCCCAAGCCAGCGAGCCTTCCTTAGCCGTTTAACCAAGGCCGGCCACGGGGCGGAGGGCCGTGAGGATTGGGAGCCGGGCACGGCGAGGAGGGGAGGGGGCACTTTTCTCCGCCCCCTCCCCCCAGAACCACTGTTCTTCCCCTCCCCCTCCAAGAGCGAGTCGGGCTTCCTGCAGTACCTGGACATCTCGGTGGGGAAGGAGGTGTCGGCCATTTGCACCAAGGCCGGCCGGCTGGCGGTGATGGCCCAGAACCCCTCCAACGCCATCGTCCACCTGGGCCACAGCAACGGTGAGTGGGGGGTGGGGGGCACATAGTGCAGGGGGGGGCCCTCCTTTTGCCCTCGCCCGGAGCGCCTCCGCCCACCCCCTCCCTCCCTCCCTCCCTCCGCAGGGACGGTGACGCTCTGGAGCCCCAGCGCCAAGGCCCCGCTTGCCCGGATGCTCTGCCACCAGGGAGCCGTCAGGGCCGTGGCGGTCGAGCCCTCCGGGAGGTGAGCAGGCAGGTAGCCCGCCGGTGGGGGGGGGGGGGGGGGGGGGGGCCCGCGGGGGGGGGGGGGGGTCGGGGGAGGGACACACACGGGACGACGGGACGGGGGAACGTCCACGGGCAATGCAGAACGCCTTCTTCCCCGGCAGCTACATGGCCACGTCCGGCTTGGACCACAAGCTCCACATTTACGACCTCCGGGCGTATCGGCGCCTCCACTCCTTGCTGTTGCCCTGCGGGGCTGGGCTGCTGGATTTCAGCCAGCGGGGGCTTTTGGCGGCTGCCTGCCAGGAGGTGGTACAGGTGAGCGCGGACAACGGGGACGATGTGGACAACGCGGACGACGGCTCCCACCATCACCGCCTCTGGCCCTCGTGAACCCCCCCCTCTCCCCCCCACAGGTGTACAAGGACGTCTCGGTCTGCCCGCCCCAGAAGCCCTATCTGTGCCACAGGTTGCCCGGCCCCTCCCACGGCCTCCGCTTCTGCCCCTTTGAGGATGTCCTGGGCGTGGGGCACGCGCAGGGCTTTGCCAGCCTGCTGGTCCCAGGTAAGCGGGGACAGGGAGGGGTGTTGGTGGCTCTGAGAGAGAGAGAGGGGGGAGAGGCCACCCTGTTTGGGGAGGAGACCCGTACCTCTGACCGGGTTGCCTCGTAGGTGCTGGAGAGCCCAATTTCGACGCCCTGGAGAACAACCCCTACCGCAGCCGGAGGCAGAGGCAGGAGTGGGAGGTGAAGGCTTTCCTGGATAAGGTGAGCCCCCTCTTGCGTCCGCCCCGCCCCGTGCAGGTGTCCCCGGATCAGAGGGGGAGGGGGGCTCCATGGGGGGGAGGAGCCCCACTCTTTTCCCCCTCACACCGGCGCCGCCTCTTCTTGGCAGATCCCGTCGGAGCTGATCACCTTGGACCCCACCCAGCTGGGCCGGGTGGATCCCGTCTCCCTGGAGCAGCAGCGCCAGGAACGGGCGGAGAGGCTGGTACGTGCCTGGGAGGAAGAGGAAGATGGGGGGTGGGGGGGAGGAAGGCCCAGAGGCCGCCGGGAGGGTCCCAGGACGACGCCTCCATTTCCCCCTGCTTCCACCCCACCCCCCAAAACAGGGCTACGACCCGGAAGCCAAGGAGCCCTTCGCCCCTCGGAGGAAGCTGAAGGGCCGGGACTCGGCGGGCGGCAGGCTGAAGCGGAAGAAGAAGATGGCCGCCGAGGAACAGCGGGTGAGTCTGCCTCCCCCTCCCCCCCCACGCCCTTCCCCCCCCTCCCCAATTCAGCTGGGCCACAGTCGGGACGCCAAAAGTTTGCTTTTTAATGTACCGTTGGAGGAAAAGAAGATGGCGGTTCCAGATCAGCTGTGGGGCTGGTGGTCTCCTGGCTCTTCTGGGGGGGGTCCTTCTGCCACTCCTGGTGACGCCCCCACCCCCCCATTTTTGCAGGTCCTGCTCCGGAAGAGCCTGGCTTCCAAAGCCGAGACGCAGCCAGCGGCCCGCCAGCCCAAAGTCCCTCCGGCCAAGAGGTCGGCGCTGGATCGCTTCCGGAAGTAGCGGCCCAAGGCGGCCCGGAGGGGTGGTCTCTCCGTCGGAAGGGGGTGCCCTGGACAGCTGGTCCCCTGGAACTCTGGGGGGGGGGCAGGGGGATGTCAGGGGGGGGGATTTATTGGGCCTGGGGTCTTAAATACAGGTTTTGTCATTTGCAGGTGAGTGTGCGTGTGGTCTCTCTCTGCTCCGGGGAGAGGGAGGGGCCGGCCCCGCCCTCAAGGGTTGGGAAAGAATGGGGGGGGCGGGGAGGGGGTCATGAAGTTTCCTGGGGATGGGGGGGGACTCCCCAAAAAAGCCTCCCCAGGCATTGGGCCCCGCAGGGGAAGGGGCTCGAGGGGCCATGAAGCTTCCTTGGGACGGGGGACCCCCCAAAAAACATCCCCAGACATTGGACCCCGCAGGGGCAGGGAGGGGGGGTAGAGGGGTCATGAAGCTTCCTTGGGACGGGGGACCCCCCCAAAAAGCCTCCCCAGGCATTGGACCCTGCAGGGGCTCGAGGGGTCATGAAGCTTCCTTGGGACGGGGGGCTCAACAAGGATCCCCCCAAAAAGCCTCCCTGGGAATTGGGCCCCTCAGGGGCAGGGAG